AATTGAGGCTGGTCTGGTGATAGAGAGTTTGAAAGACTATTTGCAAACACTTCTGTCTCATTATACTACTGCCTCACAAGTCCATGGTGGTAAGCAGAACAGGCATTATCCTTGATGTAGATGAGCAAACCAGTCAGAGAGTCAGATGACTTGTGCTGGATGACATAGCTAACATGGGCAGAGTTGGGACTAGAAACCAGTGCTTCAGCTCTGTGTCCAGGTGGCTCTTTGCTTGCCTTTGTTAGAGAGAAAAGCCCACCATTGTGTCACTAGGCTTTCATCACTGAGAGGGCCTTTGGAGACAAGGAAATGGAAGCTGGAAACCCAGGGCCCAGGAGCTCACCTGAGAAGCAATTGGAAAGGTTCACACTGGGAAACATGAGCTGTGGAGGTAGGGTAGACTCCAGGCAGCAAGGTGCCAGCATAGACATTTGAGAGGGCATCTTTCTCTGGGACCTTGATCCTACTCACCTTTATTCACTGGAGGAGACAGCAGGTGGGGTGGGAAAACCTTCTGGGCCAGTCTTTGGGTCACCAGTGGTCTACACCAGAATTATTTAGTACAAAGTTTAAAACTACACATACTTGAACCCTGCCACACACCTACTACCATGGCTTTCTAGGGTTGGTCTCTGGGGACCATAGAGGTTCCCAGGTGATGCTGACACATGGTGGAGTTTGAGAACTACTGCTTGATCTACACTGTTCTCTGCCTCCAACCCATGGGAAGTTCTAGGTCCTCTCTAGGGACAGAGCTCTAGATTAAGGTCTAGCTTGGGAGCCTGGGTTGCCTCAATGGGTCTACTTCAAGTCAATTCTGCCATTTGAATGTGATTATACCAGGGACTGGAAGGCGGGTCATTTACCCAGCACCTGCCAAATGCAAGGTGCCATCGTGGGTAATACAAACTAGAAGACAAGAGGATCTGGAAGTTTTCACAGTGAGCAGTAGCATGAGGCAGGCAGGATGCAGCACTGCAGGTGGACACTGCCTTCACAGAGCTCAGGAGGTGCCAGAGCCGCCCTCCAGGCCCGGCCATGATCAGAGAACGTGGCCCACCTTGAGGAGTCAGCTGAGGCCATGCAGCTGGCCATGTAGCTGGCCATGCAGCTGGCAGGCCGCAGAGGGCGGGGCCTGCCTTTGGGCTGAATTACAAATGAAGGATCTCTTACCATAAGAAAGCAGGTGAAGGAGGCGGAGGGGGGTGGGCAATAAGCAATAAGGGGAATGGACCAGGAATTCAGGCAGATGTCGCAGACTGGTGACTTGTAGGCGGGGCTTGCAGTGGTCCTGCTCTCCTAGGGGCTCCTCCCGCACAAGCTACCCCAGTAGCTCCCTATAATAAGTCAAGCCAAGCTGCCAGTCCAGCTGTCACAGTAGCCAGATAAGGGGGAAACAGGCTGGGGGCCCTG